CAGGAGTAGAGATGGAGGATGGACCTCAGAATTATTGGCCTTAAGAGTCAGAGACCAACAGAAGGTACTTTGAGTTCCCAAGTCACCTTCCTTGGTGGGACATCAACCCTTTAGGAAATTTTCATAAGTGGGAAAAGTCCCAAGGGTAGTCACCTGCCATTTGCCTCTGATAATGGTCTGGGATGAAAAATAGACTTCTCAACTTTTGCCTTATTTACCAACCAAAAAGGGTGAGTGTCAGGTGTAGGGAAGATTTACAGACTGGTAGGAGATATCTCCTTGGGTTGTCTTTATGTATTTGGTTTTATTCCTTTCAAACATAATTAAAGAGTGGTATGCACTATATTTTTGTGAATGAACTAGATCAAAATACTGTTGGCACCAAATTAGGGGCAGAATCCTTTGGGATATGTGTTTATGAATGAAGTCTCTGTTTGGATAAATCCACACTAAACACTCAGGTTAAGAAAACAAGTGTTACAACCCAGAAAAGAGAGAGAGCGCTAAGGAGAGAGAGGTACCAAGCTTTCTGAGAGCCTGAGAGAGTTTGGTGGTTAGCCCAGAGTGTTCTCTTGCATTGGGTGGCAAACAATGCCAATGAGATCAAAGGCTTGACCAAGAACACCTGCTCTTACTACTGGTGAGTGGTACCCTGTGATGGCTAAAATAATAAAAATCCTTCCAGGCATGCAAGGAAAATGAATAATAATGGACTTTTTAATAGTCATTGAAAGTTGGTTATGTGCTTTGCAAATTATTAGCTCACTTCAGTCCCACAATAAGCCTGGGAAGTAGTTGCTATAGGTATTATCACCCATATTTTATGAATGAAGCAATTGAGACTCATCAAAGTTAAATGATGGCCCCTGGCTACTCACCTACTAAGTGACAGAGGCTTGATTGTGAACCCAGGTCTTCTCAGACTCGTAGACCAGAACTACATTCATTATGCCACCAAGTCTTCCACAGTGAAATGTTCACAAAAGAATTTGACTTATCCACAGTCAAGAAAAGGACCAGAGTGGCACAGCTGAATGGTCAATTTTGAAGTCAGTAATCCCTGGGTTCAGTTCTCACTTCAGACATATTTTCATTTTGGGACCATGAGTGAGGCACTTAAGCTCATTTTATTAAGGTACCAGGCAGAATCCAAACAAAATTGCACCGAACTTTGGAAATTACTCAACTTGAGTACAACAGAACAGAAGCTCCTTGAGGCCAAGGACTATTTCTTTTTTTTCTCTTTGCATCCCTACATAATAGATATTTCACATAAGAGATGCTTAATAAAAGTCTTATTGAATTGAGTGGTAAGGGTGCAATTCCTAACTGCATCTCATGGGTTAATTCCAAATGTCTTAAAATATTGTCAGAATGGTAGCAACATAAAAACTCACAAAGTAACGGTCGCATGTCACGATTCATCTTAACTCAAGGAATAATTCTTCAGTGGAAACAAACTTTTCATTTAGGCAACATGGTTTGGTTTTGTCTCAAATTTATTTTCTCTTCATCATTGCATTTTGTTGAACACATGGCAACCCACAGAGACACATGATAAATTATGCTGCTATTTGTAATGATACTTCCCCACAATAAATAATAGTCAATACTGTTAAGTGGCACAACAATGGCACACAGTGTGAGGGACATTTTAAACAAAACATTAAGAGCCTACTGATGGCTAACAATATCCTCTGGCTCCCGTTCCTGATTACTTTTCAAACTAATAAAAGTCAAGATAAGGAGAACCTGGGCAAAAACACTCTTCCCTGCCCAAAAACTGTCCAAATGAATTATTCTGCAACCATTCTCAAGTGTTGCAAGTGAATTTTTATAAGTATTTTTTTTATTTTAAGGGTGCTACACCTAAATAAAAATACAATCACTAACACCCTTACATTTAACCCCTCCCCCATATATCTGGTACTTTCAGATGGCTTCCCCCCCCCCAACTCATCCTGATGGATTTCCCTCAGGGAGAGCAGGGTGGGAGGGGAAAAATAGCCATTTCCCAGAGGAAATTCAGCTATGTTAATTGAAGATTAAAAAAAAAAGTGTATGGGGCAAGGGGGAGTGGTCACAGCAAGGATGAATGTTGCAAGTTTTTTCTACAGCACGACCGCCAATGAAAGATAGACTGCAGTTCCTGCTTGGGTTTAAGAGGATTGGACAGGCTAACAACAGACTAACAGGCTTACAGAAAACATTGACTTCTTTTAATCAAAGCATGTAATCAGAAGGCCAGAGTGATGATTACTTCTACTTTCCCCATGAATCACAGAACCAATCAGCTGTATAGGTGCCTTGGCCTCAGTCTCTGCCAAGGGCATTGCAAACTTAACATTTACTATTTTAAATACCCGGATGACCCTTACTCCTGAGTACTTTTTGAATAGCCTCTATGTTCACTGGGTTACAATGCCTGCTGAAATCCAGAAGCATTTTATAGGTTTTACACTCAAACACATGTACCTACACCTTTCATTGATGACATTTTTATGTCTAAGAAGCTTTTAATAATTGAGTGCAATTAATTTTTTGGAGAAATCGAGCAAGAGGCTGTAATTTACTTTCCCAGTATGACAACTCATTTCATTTTTGTGCGATTTAGTCTGCTATATTTTTAGTATACAAAGAAGAAAAAAAAGGAGTATTAGAAATCCATAAAATGCAGCGTAATCTACACTCAGCTAAAGGGATGCTTATTTCCCAAAAGGTCTGGGGTATCATTAATGACCTGGAAGTACAAAAAGAGTATGGGGCCTTCATAAGTGTTGCTTATGCTTGAAGAACATCAAGGCCTTAAGAACAACAGTCCCAAACCTTGGAACACGTCTCTACCTTTAAAACACTGAAGACGTCACCCCATCCCGAATGAATGATTTCCAATTCAAAATCACAGCCTAAATGATTTTGAATTCACTGCAGGCGCCTTTTCATCATCACCCACAAGACCACAAGGCATTCTGCTGAGGCAGGCAGGAGCCAGGACAGAATATTTTAAATGTTTGGATTACCTGCTAGTGCCTAAGGAGCCTCATTCATTGCTTAATAATGTCTCCATTGCTCATAACAAGGCTTCTAGGGAGTGTAATCTTTCTTTGGGCAGGGGCGGAAACGGGAATCCTTCCCACAGCAAATGTTCAGGGTTGCAGACTAACTTTCTTTTGCCTGTCAGATTGAAGGGAGATGGAACAGAGAGCAGGAGGGAAGCAAGAATTGGCCAGAATGCCCAGCCCAGGCTGCATGCAGCTCATTACAAGGCAAGAAGTAGGCTGCGGTGCAGAGGGGAATGTTGCTTTCCAAGCTGCATTGTTTCCTCTGGCCGGCTCAATCTAAACATTTCTCCAGTTAATTTTCCCTGCTCTCACAGCATACATTTCTCGTATTTTGTTGCTTCTCCCCCTCTGCTTTTCCTGAGCAATACTTGGCTGTAGTTCCCCTATATACAGAGCTCAGAATCTGCAATAGGTAACAGGCTTTCTGCACATAGGAGGTGGTGGGGGCTCCAGCAAGCTCATGGGCACTGACTCTTTTTTCTTTTTCCCCCTCACTCCTTCTCTCCCTCCCCTCTATTCTAACCCACTTAATCACCTCTTCTCCCACATAAACACAGTGCCCTCTCTGCTCAATCAGACAAACACCACCTCTTGGTTCCTTGTCAGGGAAGGATGCTAGAGCATCCTCCTCCTCCTCCTCCTCCTCCTCCTCCTCCTCCTTCTTCTCCTCAGTCGCCTTCTTTCTTCTCTTTCACACTCATAGACAAAGCTCTCCTCTTCCCTCACACTGAGGAAAGGGTCAATCGACTAAAGGTGTGTATTGGGGGAAGAGGCAGAGATGGGGAAGGAGGGGGAAGATGAGAACCATTGGGGGAGAGGGAGGGAGGCAGGAAGGGGAAGTGACTGACTGAGCTAAGGTATAAGAGAGAATTGAGTCCACTGAGAGACAGACAACCAGAAAAACAGAGACAGAGAGAGACAACAGAAACAGAGACAAAAAAAAAACAGAGACAGAGACAAAAATAGAAAGAGAGGTTCTGAGAAATAAAAACAGAAAGACAAAGGTAGACATATATAAAAAAAACAGACAGAGACAGTGAGACAGGAAGATAGAGACAGAAGGAGAGACAGAGACAGAGATGAGAACAAGACTGAATCAAGACTAAGCAGTTAGGGATCACCAAGAACATGTAATTTGCAAACTGCCAAGGAAAGATGATAGAGCAGCACCAAAGGCAGTGGGGGTGGGAAGATGGGCTGGGAGAGGTGTGAGTCAGTGGATAAGAAGGTGAAGTCTCTAACCTCCTGGAATGACTTCAGGGACAGAAAACATGTCACCAGAAGAGGCTTTTCAAAAACCATTTTTATTTGCAGTATAATGATGGACTTTAAAAAGAAAGAAAAGGGAGGTCCTATTTACTTTTCTAAGCCCTTGATTCAGTTCCACCACAGAGAACTCTTTCTTAAATAACTTCCCAGTGAAATTAATTTGCTGTACTCACAGAAAATCTGATTTTCTACCACCTAGCCATGCCCAGAGAAATGTAACACCTATTTAAACAAATTGTAAATAAAGGCTTCTGTGTTTAATTAGTTACAGTTTTTAGGCAACTGTCCAGCTAATTAAAGTTAAATGCAGTATGGGGGGGGGGGGGAGAAAAGTGCTTAAAACATAAAGTTATCCAGGAAGCAAGGAAAGAATATTTTCCCCAAAACCTTTCCAAAACCCTCTAAATAAGGAAACGCGATGGAGGGGAAATCATTCTGGGCTGCAAAGTAAGGGAAACATCTTTAACTCCGAGGGATTGTATTTTATCCCCTCTTCCCAAACTAATAACCCCCCAAGAATCCGGGGGAAAGGGGAGAAAGGAAGAGGAGTGAGGCAGGTTGGTGGTGACGGGGAGAAGGCAAGGAAGGCGAAGAGCAAGAGGGAGAGAAGTTCTAGGCAGCTGAAGGAGACCATCGGTGCCTAGGAGAGGGAGGAAAGGGGTGCCTTACCTTGCCGCTCCACCAGCCCCGTGCGCCCCTGCTCTGCAGCCTCCTAGCACCTCGTACTTGGTGCTGCTTAACGGGGAACTGAAGGAGGGCCGCCTCTTAGACCATTCTTCGGGCCCCTTTCCCTTGACAACGGATGCCAAAGCCTGATATTAACACTGTCCTCCTCGTTCTCCATTAGCTCCGAGCCATTCTGAATCCCAGGACAGCGAGGCGAAGAAGCTGCCCGTGGGCATGCCGAGGGGGACGGGAACGTTTGTGCGGTTGGTAGATAAATGTCGAGGCAGACGGACAGACAGAGAGAGAAACAGAGACAGAGACAGAGAGCTGGGGAAGGAAAGAGCTGGGGCTAGGGAGCTGCGATCTGTATAGAAATCCGGAGCGGGAAAGGACCCCAGATTGTAGCTGGCAACTGGAAACCGAAGGGGAGGGGAGGAAAACTTGGCAAGCACCACGGATCCGAGCAGAGACCTGCTGCCAGAGACAGGATTCCCCCAGCAGATTGGGGTGGGGGGGGCGAAACCAAAGCAAGCCAAACTCGCAACCCCCCTCGCTCCCTCCCCACTTGAGCCTGGCCACCGCTTTCCACGCGCAAGAGGAGGCGTTCGGCGAGTTGGAGAGAGAGCGGTGGCGGCCAGGATGAAGCTCTGACTGGAGCTCTGGCAGGCAGCGTCGGCAAAGTGAGCAGTCGCCCGCTCAAAGACAGCAGCAGCAAGAAGGAGGCAGGAGCCGGGGATGCTGAGGATGCTGCTGCTGCTTCTGGTGGCGGCGGCGGCCGCTGCAATTGCTGCTGCTGCTGCTGCTGCTGCTGCAGTTAGCGGACTTCCTCCGCTCGTTCCCAGCTCCCTGCTGCCGCCGCCGCTGCTACCTGTAGACCGACACACTCACACTCACACACACACACACACGCACTCACACACACTCACATATACACACATAAAGCTCACTCAGTCGCGGGCGCGCGCGCGCGCACACGCACACACACACGCACACACATATACACACGCACACACACAGGCGCACACACTCTGGGAGCAATGCAAAGCGCTAGAACTAGGCAAGAGCCTCCCGCCACCCACCCACCCCCTCCACCTCTGCCACCCTAAAGGGATTGGTCAACAACCTCCACCCCAGCCCAGTGCAGCCGTCCACACCCACACACTGCTTCCCACGTACACCCACGTCTGCCTAAGCCCAGTTCTCCTAGAAATGAGGAGGGTCGTGAAAGGCTGGGGAGCACATCCAGAATTACATAGATATGCTCCAATGGATGTTGCTGCCGCTTGTAGGGGTAGAATTTGGGGGGGGGCGGTATAAGTGGGAGAGGCCTGGCCTCTTTAGGAGGTCACGATTGATCTCCACTCCCTATCTCATCTTGGGGCTGCTTCGACCGTCCAGAAGCAGCAGCAGCAGCCCGGAAGGCAGCGAGCCAGAATCGAGGCGGGGGTTAAGGGCCCTGACGACACGTGTGACGTGTACCTAAAAACTGGGGGAAACAAATGCTTGGAAGGGCACGGACCCCTTGGTCCCTGTGTAAATTTTCTTAAAAAAAAATTTAAAAAAACATTGTCAACGTCATAAAAAAAAATCCTTCAGCTCAACCCACAGAGTAACACCTAGTTTTAGAAACCCCAATATCCCAATTCAGTCCTATCCAATCCAACAACCATTTATTAGATGCCTCCTCATTGTAGCCCACAATTCGAGCCACTGAGGAATCACAGGAAAAAAAGCGAGGAGGCAGAGCTCTTGCCCTCAAAAAGCTTACATATTATTGGGAACGTAGAAGAATATTAAGAGTGTAAGCCTGATTTTCTAAGGTTTGAAGAAGGCTATCTGGTGACATGTTTTTAAAAATATTTTAATAAATAATATTTAAATAATTATATTTTTATAATCTTCAGGATGTAGTCCACCTTTTTCCTTTAAGAAGAAGAAAAAAAAAGAAGCAGAAGAAGAATGAATGTGGCAATTAAAGGTCTACAAAACACCTTATGTATGTAATCTCATCGTACCCTACAGCAACCTTGTAGAGATGGGTAATTAGTTCTTATTATTGGTATTATTATGCATATAATTATCTCTATTTTAGTGATGAGAAAATTGAGGTTCAGAGATGTTTGATGACTTGGGGGTCATATACAATGTCAGAGACCAAATCTGAACCTAAATCTTCCGAACTACAAGGTCAGAAGACTATCCACTACACCAGCAGATTTCAGCTTTATCGTCAAAGAAAATATAATTGAATTCTTTGAAAACTAAGTGGAATCCAGTTTATGCTCCTCTTTAACCAAAGAGGATTGGTCAGATTCCTCTCTATAGTTTACAAAGAATGTTGGGCACCCACTGTTGGGGGCACAGACTCCCAATTGACTCCTTTATCCTTTTTGAGAGGAAATATTTGTGAATATCTAAAAAACATTTCAACTTTTTGAAAGATGAAAATAATTAGCATGTTTTAAAGAATTACATAAAATCTGTCAGTAAACTTAAAAGTTAGTGTTGGAGAGGCTTTTCAGTATTAAGCTCTAAAGACTTCCTTTCTTTGTACCACCATTTAAATTTATGTAGAGAGAATGACACTAGAAACCTAAATATCAGGATTTTCAATTTTGTTTTTCATTTTTAATTTGGTATTTGTAGTATGAGGGTTACTATTTCAAATGAGTTCCAGAATTCTGGCAAGATGGCTGAATGAGAGGTTGTATGAGATCCCCCTCATCATCTCCAAAAAACCAAACACACACCAATTAATAACATTTTTAAATAAAACGAAGGGAAAAGACAGAAATTCCTGCAAAAAAAAAAACTTATAGAGAAAAACCAGCAGCGAGTTGTAGAAAATTAGTAAGCAAATAAAATCTCTTCATACAATGAAGCAACACTTTGGGTTAAGAGAATGCCAAGAGGAAACTCCACAAACAAGAGAATAATTCTAAAAGATGAGCATTTAGAAAAATAAAGTGAAAGACCACAAAAGCCCTGGAGGTAGTTAGAAGGCCTAGAAAAATAAATTAAGGAAAAGATCAGAGGCAAACTTTGAGATCTTAACGATAAACATACATCTTGGACCTGAAACTGGAAATCCTTTGTAATTTATTGGACACCCTGAGGGGAAAAACACAATAGAAGAAATGGAATGAGAGGATCCAATGATATAACAAGAAATATTACAACAAAGTTAGAAAGCAGCAAAATCAAAACACGTGAGATCTCTGCAATCAAACACAACTACTCTGGAAATCTAGACTTAGAGGGATACTCTAAGAAAGGCCTAAGTTTGGAGGGTATGTGAAAATTCAAAATTGCTGCATTTGTAACATTATTAGTGAGGTGGAATATTTTTTCATGATTGTTGGTAACTTGAATTTCTTCTCTTGAAAATTGTTTGTTTTAAGAATCATTGGATTTCAGGGACAACTAGGTGGCACAGTGGATAAAGCTCCACCCTTGGGGTCAGGAGGACCTGAGTTCAAATCTGACCTCAGACACTTGACACTTACTAGCTGTGTGACCTTGGGCAAGTCACTTAAGCCTGATTGCTTCACCAAAAAAAAATCATTGGATTTCCTGAAAAACATGATTTTAAAATATCTTAGATGTTGTATTTCCAGAAATTATGAATGAAAACGGCCCAGATCTATTACAAGTGGGCAATATAACAATAAAAAGATTCCACCAATCACATTTTAAAAGGAATGCTCAAAACAAAAGACCCCAAAATGACAAAATCTACAATTCCTATGTCAAAGAAAATGTATAGCAGTAATCCAAAAAGAAGCAGTTCAAGTACTGAGGAACCACAGACAGGATATCATTAAGACTTGGCAGCTTCTACCATAAATAAGAGAAGGTTCTGGAATATAATATTCATGTCTTGATATTCATGGAGGTTAGGGACACAGGACCCCCTCAAATGTGAAAAATCATGAATAACTCTAGTATGCACCCCAAAAGTTTATTTCTAATAATTTTGATCATACTACTTAACACAAAAACAAGTAAAACAACACACTGTACCCATTAAAAAGTTTCAGTTCCTATGTGAGAGATATTAGTATCTCACACACCGTGCAGAGTCTTCACAATTGCTGGTATAGCTATACAACTGCCTCATGGATTTCCTTCTCGAAAAAGTGCAAGACAATAAAAAGTCACATGACTGAGTCTGAATGGTAGAGAAACAAAGAGGAGATGTTTAACAAAATTTTACTGTTTATATTAAGTTTTTGTATGTATGCTTATGGTAGTAAATGATAAAATAGATCAATAATATACAATATTTTCACATTTGACATTAATTTAAAATTTTTTTCTTTACATATGCACATCATCTGTGATTTTCCATAGTATACGAAAAATCTCAAAAAAATTCTCATTTAATTATCAATGGCCCACCTGTGAATAACCAAAACCACAAATATGAAACCCATGAAAGTCAAGGGATGACTATTTCAAAGGTAAAAGATATAACCCCCAATCAAGAATAACAATCTGCAAAGCTGAATACAATCCCACAGAGGGGGAAAAAATGGAACTTGAACAGAATAGAGGATTTTCATACAATTCTGATTAAAATAACAAATCTTAGTAGGAACTTTGAAACAGTAACTATCTTTCTGGATATAGATATCTATGGATAAGTTCAAATAACCTTAAAAAGGTAAACTTCTATTATTTGAGCAACTAGAAAGAGCTACATGATTACTCCACATCATAGTTAACATTTTAATAGGGGAAGAAGAAACAATTATCTTCAGAACCTGTCTTCTAAGTATATTGAAGGAGATGAATAAACAAAATAGAGACATGGAAGGGAAAATGGATTCCATTTGGAGTGTTTTAAAAGGGAAAGAAAAGGAAAGCTAAAAGATATTTAAATAACTCCTTGATATTTAATATTAATGTTTTAATATCAAGTTTTAGCAGCTTAAAACTGCACTAAGACTTTTAGCAATCCTGCATTGGCTTAGCCTAACCATGAACAATGTACATCTCTTTAATTACATAGGCCTAATTTTATTTATATAAAGTGTTTTATTGTCATATAAGTTCTTATGTAATTATACAAGTCCTAGTCGTATCTTGATAAATTAATGCATAGATATTGCATACATTTTATGATGATTTTTGTAGAGTTTTCCTAATATTTCCTCCTCATTTTTGTTCATATTAAATAGAAATACTAATCATTTATGTGGCTAGTTTTGCTCCCGCTATTATTTAACATTTAATTTCTTTGCCAAGGCATTGGACTGTTCTAAGTAAATAGTGATTTCATCTGAAAATTGGGATAATTTTATCTACTAGTTTCTGGTGGTAATATAATGAGCCCTTCTCCCTGGCCCTCCATAGTGATTCTGCAAATTAGAAAGGAGAATTAATATGAAGGCTGCCATCCAAAAATTTAGGGAGCAGTGTGGTACAGTATAAAGAGCATTGAATTTGAAATCAGAGGACTATGGCTCAAATTCCAACCACTGCATTCATATGTTCAACATATAAGTCATGTAAATTCACTAGAACCTGATTTTCTCAATTATTCGATGAAGGGGTTGAACTACATGGTTTCTGAGGCCCCTCACCATTCTGTCCATGGCCATATGGTTGATTAGGAAGAACACTGGCTTGTTTCATGGCAAGAGAAGTGGCATACCAAATTGAGCTGTCAGTGGTTTCTTGGATTGTCAAAAAAAAAAAAAAAGTGAAGTTACCAACATGGGAGTTGACTATCTGCTGCAAAACTACAGAACATCTATGAGAATCACAGAATATGGGTAGGAACGGATGAGTTGTGATCTGCATTATTGGAGGGAATACCCACAGTGACAGGATCAGAGATCCATTGGGATATTAGGCTTTTTG